CTTCAGCTTCTTGTAGTCTTTCAGGGCTTTGGCCAGCCGGCCCAACTCGCCTTCCGGCAAGTTTGTCAGCACCGCCTCTTCGCATACGGAGACTTTCTCGTAGTAGATATCCTGCTGCAGCTTCTGCACTTCTCCGGCATCGTTCCGATGCGTGAACGCGGCTTTCTTCATGTCTTCTTGGAAGACCTCGGGAGCCATTGGGACTTTGCCCTTGAGTTCGAATTCTTCGGAGTTCGCTTCGGAGCCCGGAGCGTCGATCCGCTGGTTCTGCTCGGACCGGCTCCTGCAAGAGGACCACTCCACCTCTGCCTTGCACCACCCGCGGTCCCGATACGGGACGCGGTTATGCACTAGCTCCTTGAGGGGGCGGCCTCGGACGGTCTTGCTCTTATCATCATACACCATCACAAGATGCTTCGAGTTCTGCAGCGCGGCGTCCCAGACGTCGTCTGGAGTGAGAGCTTCCAAGCGAAGAGTCCGATTGCATTCGTGGGCGTAACACATGTGCATGTGACTCATGGATCTGCGAAAGCTCTCCGTTTCCGCGTCTGTCTGCCGCTCGTATTGAAAGAGAGATACGTAGTCGTAAAATACCCAGATCTCAGAAAAATAGGCAGCATCGTAGAGGCTTAGGCAGCTGACCAGCCGCTTCAACTGGTCGCCGCAGGGATCCGGGTGTTCACGGGTCTCCCAGGCATGTGAAACAGAAATGAGCATCGCGTCTCGGGTCCCCGCCGCCCACTCACTCACCTCCTCGTGGCTTACGAGGCCCCACTCTTCCTCGGAGTGCGGTGCGTCACGAAGGCTGTTGTGGCAACAAGATGATCTCACTGCCACAGGCACAGGCCTAAGGCCCGCTCCGCTTCCTGGCGTCGGGGCAGCAGCCTCTCCTCTCGCAACAGCTCGTACAGGTACCTGCGGGGCGCCACTCCACGAGCAAATTATCGCAGAAAGCAAAGCCCGTCATCAACTCTCTTCCGATTCAACTCCGAGAGTCTAGGTACGACCCTACGGCCCACATGCATGAGCTCCCTGTCAGCGGGGAAGAGGCACTCGACCCGAAGAAGACGGATGTCTGCATACTTCAGGTACTCGGCCAACTTCTGGGGCTCTTCCAGGTTGAAGCTGGCCTTGCTGCCAAGTGCTGCTGATGTGCACATGAAGAACTTGAGTCAACATCCCTCAACTGCTGTGTGGGGCTTAGGGTTCAGGGAGGTCGGGGGCTGAAGGTCCGACGGTGAGGACGACCCGCAGACCCCCGAATCGTATGAGACGAGGCTGCTATGGTCTCAGAGTTTCCGAAAGAGGGAAGCCCCACCCTAAATACTGGGATCCAGATTCGCCGATTAGCCTTACTAAGTATCCGAGAAAGGGAAGCCTGACCCAAAAAAGGGATCTTTATCTACCTTGTTAAGTAAAGAGTACGCCGACGTAAGGTAGCCCTCACCTCCAGAAGCCAAAAATGAATTTTTACGCATTCCCGAAGGAAGTCTTCCTAAATCTCAACCGCCGAAACCGCAGGACAAAGCCCAAACGACCTACGTACTTCCACAACATCCAAACAAAGCACGGGGAATGCTACTGATAATGCTGCCAACCTATACATACTCAAATCAAAAGTAGCAAGGGTGGGTTACTAGCAAGCCCTGCACCCTACGACCCTGCAACCCTACGGCCGCAAAGCCTCAAAGCAGAAAACCTTAAACGAAGACCCTCAAATTATGAATGTCCTAAACCCTACCCTCCTCAACCTAAACCCAAAGGGAACAAACTCTGCACTTGAGGGTTTCGGCACATGTGCAACCGAACACTTGCTACCTCCAGGTCTCTCCAAGGTACTATGACTTGCGGTCCGCTCATAAATACAGCTAAACATCGGGCATTGCGACTGCCCCAACCCCAATAAACCTGCAAAAAAAAAGTATTCTAACTAAGTCTAACTCCCGTCCTCGTTTGAGCTCAACTCAGGCGTCTCTGCGGCCGGCCTGGGCGGGGGAAGATCTCTACGGCCTGGGATTAGGGTTTAGGGTTTAGGGTTTAGGGTTTAGGGTTTAGGGTTTAGGGTTTAGGGTTTAGGGTTTGGGTTTAGGGTTTAGGTTTAGGGTTTAGGGTTTAGGGTCTTGGCATTTTGGACTTGGGGGGCTTTTGCCTTCACCTCGAGCCTGCGACGGTCTAAACTCAAGACATCCGAGCAGCTCTGCCGTACCTGCAGACGTCTCTTGCAATGCCTCGGCAGCTGCCGTTTCCGGTGCCTCGACAGGTGTTGCTTAGGCTAACATGTTTGGAGGGTCTGGCTCTAGCTTGCGATTTCGGGCTTTGGTGATTTAGGCCTTTGGCTTTCTACGATCGCTGGCATATCTGCCTTCGCAGCTGGTACTATCACTTGCCCCACAGCACCAATTAATTATCCTTGGAAGCTCTGCCTTTTCATGACTAGGAAGGCATGGAACAACTCTGCGTCAGCGCGGACTGTGGCCACGGCTAGTGCTATGCTATGACTGCGACCATTGCCCTGAAGATTCTGACCAGACCTTGCACAGCAGTTTTTTGCCAAGCTCCACTCGCAACGGCCCGGCCTGGTCCGGTGCTATCTTCTGCGGTAGCCTCGGCTGGGAAACTTCGGATTTGGCTGACCGCGACCGCGACCATTACCACTCCCACCGACCACGACTACTACGACTACGACT